TGGGAGAAATATTGTGCACATTTTTTTTTTTTTTTTTTTTTTTTTTTTTTTTTTTTTTTTTTTTTTTTTGAGAGATTTTTGCTATAGGGCGCACACACTCGCCAGACAGACAGAGAGAGACAGAGAGACAGAAAGCAGGTAATCACCCCCCGGGGGGATGGCCATGCCGCAATCCCTTCTCCTCCATTCTCCTCTTGAGATCTTGGGCACGCACGCACACGTGCCCGGTGTGAGTTTAAGCCACCAGGTCCGGGACTCGAACTGCGGTCGACTACGTGGGAGTCCAGCGACATAGCCATTACGCCAACTGCTGGTCCCTGAGCCAAGTTTTGAAAGATAAGTAGGATTTAGCTTGGCAGCAAAGGGGTGGTGTGGGTGGTAAAAGGGCCTTCTAAGTAGAGGGAGCAGTATAAGAGGACACGGCATGCTGAGGAAACTACACATCCTAATATGTTTGAAATATGGAGTCCGAAATAGTTAGGGTAGAGATGCCATGGGTGATAATGAGAGACGGGGATAAAGAGGTAGGCATGAACTAGATCTTGAAAAGCCCTCTCATTTGTCACCCTGCCATCCTCCTTTTATCGTTTATCTGCTTACCACACACTTTTTACAGAGTATGTAAACTTCAGCTCTGTTGCCTGAATTTTCATGAGTTCTCAATTAGTGAAGCCTAATTTAATAGCTTTGTTATTTTTGAAGTGATACAGTTAAAGCTCACCAGATCCTTCCAGTCATATAAGAACTTACTGGTAATAAAGTATAATCTCTTTCTCAGTAGTTTCTATTTTAATATTTTATATTTCAACTACATTAAAGAGCTTATTCTGGGTCTAGGCTATTGGTCAAACCTTCTCCCACAGTGGTTGAGGTAGTGATTGTCCTCACAAATCTCTTTTCCCTTGCCATTATTGAGTTCTGAGTTACTCTCCCATTTGCTGCCCTGCCCTGCACTGCCCTGCCTTGCCCTACTCTGGCTACATCTTTCTGCAGTTCCCTTCTCTTTTCTTGAATCAGTGCTGACATTTCAATTGCAGTGTATCCTCAATGCCTCTGTAATCACTCAAAGATCAGTCTTAGATTTAAGCCATTATCTTTCTGTCATTCTAGCTATTTTGGTTCTTAATTATTAAATATGTAATATATGTACATGTTAGAGGTGCAACTACGTTTTTGCTACTGCTAACATAGCATTTCTGTTTCTTCCATTGTGCTCCTTTTCCCTGGCTGTGGTGGTGGTGGTGGTGGTTGGGGGCATCATATATAATTATGGGGGTGGGGTGGGAAAGAGAACAATGCCTGCCATTTCCTCTGTTAACAAAGTGAGTAAAGAAGCTTGACTCTGGCTTCCCATTACGGCAAATGAGTTCTAATGTGTTATGTTTGTATCCCAGATGAAATTTTGCTGTTTCACTGTTTCTGACTTACTTGCTTTGGTTTGAAACCACAGTTAAAAACATCACTGATGGTGATCATTTACTAGTCAGAAGACAAACAGAATAAAGAAAATGGTTTAGATAATTCTGAAATCATGCAATAAACCTCTGCCCTACAGATAATTGACTTTTAATTATCTTTGTTAGTGTTTTAAATTTATTAGTTTTTGAAAGATTTATTTAATTTTATTATTATTGTTATTATTTTAATTTGCTATAGGGTGTGTGTGTGTGTGTGTGTGTGTGTATAAAACTAGAAATGGAAAATTATTGATGATAACATGCATGATTAAGCCTCTATGCAGTATATTCTGGATGGGAAATCACATTTTGTATGTTGTGATGATGCTTAGGGAATGAATGTAAATTAATTAATTAAAAAAATGTTTCAGAATAAAACCCTCATGGACATATGTATAATGGGAAAACTATGTTTGAATTTCAAAAGTTTTTGTACCAAAATAAATTCAGACTTTAATTAATTAATTTTAAATGAATAAAAAGTGAAAAATTGCTCTAGGGTACACATGCTAACCAGAGAGAAACAGGGAGAGATAGAGGAAAAAAATGAGAAAGCAAGCCACCAGATCTGGGACTCAAACCACCATCAGCCATGTGGGAGTCCAGCACCTTTAACCACCACGCAACCTGCTGGCTCCAGTGTTTCAAATTTATTACCAGCTTTTTTAACTTGAACCCAGCAAATATCTCTCAAGAAAACTATTTGGCATTCTTATTTATTTAGAAAATCGCTTCCAAATATATTCTGAGAAACATTAGTTCTTAAGATATGCACTGATACTGATAGAAAAATTGATAGTGTTGACACCTAAATGTGGAAAATCTTTAGTTACACAAATTATCAGGTTTCTTACTGTAGTTTTTGGGAGTCCTATAATATGCTAATGTGCATCATAAATTCCCAAGGCAAAAATATAAAGAGAAAAATAACGTTCAGTGTTTTCAAGATTCAAGATTCATTTGACCATGTAACTCTTTTGGGGGATAATTACAAAAACTACATGGTGGGCTGTAGGAAGAACCTCAAAAATCATGGAAAAATGGAATTAAAGTGTTTGTCTATTTTGGTGCAAAGTATTATTTTGAAATAAACACACTTTTTTTTTTCCCAAATAGGCATTTTTCATGAACTTTTTGAAGCTTCCCTGTTTGGCAGTTACTAATAGTACAACTGATGACAAATTGTGAAATTCTGATCTTAGAAAATTTAAATATACTGCTTTTTCCTTTAGAAACTAATATTGAAGAGTACAAACAGAATAGCGAGAGAACTCAGAAAATCTTGGTGTCTTAATCTTTGAGAACTAGCTCACTGAAAACCAAGAAGATCATAGGTGGAATCAACCATATTACAAATTCTCATTTGTTAGTCATTTAGCAAGTCCTGATCGAGTCCTCCACTGCGAGACAGACCCTAGCTGGGCCCTGGGGACTCAGGTGAACAAGCCAGCATTAATGAGTGAGATACAGGCATAAAGGACTAAATACATCATTAGACAGTAGGAACAGCTGGTAGAAAATGCTGTGAAGTGAGACTGTGAAAAAAATAAGGCAGAGGCTTCTGGGGCTAGGGTGGTCAGAGGAGTCTTGGGTAGGTGATGTTTAAGCCGAGACTTAAAAGATGAGAAGATGCTTTCCCTTGACAGTTTTGGAGCAGATTAGAGGGATCATTAAGCATAAACACTTGGAGTAGGAAAGAACATTTGAGGGACCTTCAGAACCCAATGTTGTAGGAGTGATTTTCTTTTCTTTCTTTCTTTTTTTTTGAGAGGTTTTCGCTATAGGGCGCGTGCACTCGCCAGACAGACAGAGAGAGACATAGAGACAGAAAGCGAGAAATCACCCCCCAGGGGGGATGGCCACGCCACAATCCCTTCTCCTCCATTCTCCTCTCGGGATCTTGGGCATGCACGCACACGCGCCCAGCGTGAGTTTGAAGCCGCTGGGTCCGGGATGCGAACCGCGGTTGACTATGTGGGAGTCCAGCGACATAGCCATTACACTAACTGCTGGTTCCCATAGGAGTGATTTTCTGACTAAAGGGTGGACAGCATGAAATGAGGCCAGAGATGTAGGAAAAAAAATGTAAGGCTCTGTAGGTTGAGTTATAGGTTTAACTTTAATTCAAAGAAAAATGGAAAGTGCTTGTAGAGGTTTAAGGAGCATGATAGCATGTCAGACAATTTCTGACATTTACATGTCAGAAAGCTTAAGGAGGCTGGTGCAGGCCCAGGCTAGCTTACACTGGGGTGGTTTTTTGTGGAGATGAAGGGCATTAGGCAAATTTGAGACATGAATCTCAGTAAACAAATACCTCAAAATATTATTGAGGCAAAGGCACATTTTAGGTTGCAGTGTAATTCTGAACTTGATGGATTCCTATTTCCCTTTTCTCTGGTCCATATGATTCATTTTTGGCCTTTAGGGGGAGCTACAGACCCTCTACCTTTCACAGCCTCTTTCCTAGGAAGTCTCCTGGGAAAAGGAAGGCAATATGAATAGTCAGTTGACTTTAAAGTAGGATGAGGGACAAGAATTTAGTTTTGCCTGCTTTCAGTGTTACAGACCACTTTGACCTACTCCTCATTCCGATCTATTCTGGTTACCAGGGATATGCACTTGGGCATGAGTCCAGTGGATATATCATTTGTACATATATCTTCCTAGGGACTGTGAAGGCACAGTGACTATCATAGGGCAGAATTTTGGCATTGTACATTCGGGTTGCTGGCTGAGTATCCTTCCATCTCATTGTGGCTGGCATTGATGATGTTGTCTATAAAAAGAAATTGAAAATGAGGTGGTATGCAAACTAATATAGTTGTCACTTTTCTCAGATTTTAAAATAAGGGTGGCTAATCCTATGAACCCAGTAGATAGCCAAGCTGGGAGGAAGGAAGAGGGCTGAGAACAGCACACCAGCTTTTTCATGTCAAGGCACACTTAGATATGATGTCATGTACAGCACCATGGACTGAGTGAGCAGGCTGCTCCCAGCTGGAGAAGACCAGGGCTCAGCCCCCTTGGGTACTAGCTGCCAGCTTCGACAGTAGAGGGTCAGAACTTGTAGCATATTAGTGACCTGCTAGCTCCTACCAGATGTACCATTTGGAATGTTCTAGGCTGGAGGATTTTATTTGGAGAAAGCTGAAAGTATATCAGAGATGAATCTTTAAAATCAGCTTTTCTTTTTGAAAATATTTTTTTAAAGTTTAATATATTTTTTTTCACATTTTTAAATTTAATTTTCTTTTATACATTCAATCACATTATTTAGCTTACAAAATGAATATTTCAACAGGTGAACATTTCTCCCTTTAATGGGACAAAGAAATGTGGTATTATCTGTTGAAGATATTTTATAGTTTTATCAACTGGACTAGGGAGAAATGCTCACCTGTTTTTGAAAATTGTATTTACTTATTAATTAATTATTTTGAGAGAGGTTTTCATTATAAGGTGTGTGCACTCACTGGAGAAACAGAGACAGAGTCAGAAAGCAAGAAATCACCCTCACCCCTATGCGGATGGCCATGCCGCAATCCCTTCTCCTCTAGTTTCCCCTTTGGATTTTCGGCATGCACACACATGTGCCTGGTGTGTTTCAAGCTGCTAGGTCCAGAACTTGAACCATGGTTGACTACATGAGAGGCCAGTGACATAACCGTTGTGCCATTTGCTGGTCCCCAAGTTTTAAAATTTTTTACATTTAATTACCATACATAATTTTTTTTTCGAGAGAGGTTTTTGCCGTAAGGTGTGTATGCTCGCCAGACAGAGACAGACAGAGAGACAGAAAATGAGAAATCACCCCCCAGGGGGGATGGCCACATCGTAATCCCTTCTCTTCTATTCTCCTCTCGGGATCTTGGGCACGCATGTACACGTGCCTGGCTTGAGTTTTAAGCCACCAGGCCCAGGACTCGAACCGTGGTCGACTACATGGGAGTCCAGCGACATAGCCATTATGCTAACTACTGGTCCCTAATTACTATACATCTTTACATCATACAAAATGAACTTTATCAGCTTGTAGATAGTGCATATTAGTCTAAGAAGCAGTGCATGGTAGCTATTAAGACTAACATCTCTAATTGCTGTCCCCCACAATACCCAGGACAGGTTGGTATTGTTCACAGTAGCAATACTTAGGACAGTGATGGTGGCAGTGCTAAGAACTAAGCACACAATAGCATAAACTCAAGATATCAAGACGGTGAATTGTACTATTTGATGTGCGAGTATAGGATTCAAAACTTTGTATTTATAGTGTCCAGGTTGCTGCAGAAGTGTGCCTCATCTTAGTTGCTATGTCTTTCTCGGCTCATATTGGTCATTAAATTGACCATTATTTTCAATGAGTCACATCTTAAATGCTACCCCTTCCCACCAAAAATATTGACTCACACTTTCAAAGAAAGAAGCAACTTGATCAGTATATTTATTGTACTTGTTCTTTTTTGCACAGTGTTTTGTTTGTTTTCTTTTGTCATAGGGCACATGTATTTGTTGGAGAGAGACAGTGAGAGGGAAAGTGAGAAATCACTCCTCAGGGGGGGTGACCACACTGCAATCCCTTCTTTTCCATTCTCCTGGAATTTTGGACATGCACACTTATGTGCCCAGCATGATTTTCAAGCTTTTAGGTCCAGGACTATTGACTCACACTTTCAAAGAAAGAAGCAACTTGATCAGTATATTTATTGTACTTGTTCTTTTTTGCACAGTGTTTTGTTTGTTTTGTTTTGTCATAGGGCACATGTATTTGTTGGAGAGAGACAGTGAGAGGGAAAGTGAGAAATCACTCCTCAGGGGGGGTGACCACACTGCAATCCCTTCTTTTCCATTCTCCTGGAATTTTGGGCATGCACACTTATGTGCCCAGCATGATTTTCAAGCTTTTAGGTCCAGGACTTGAACTGTAGTTAACCATGTGGGAGTCCAGAGTCTTAATCACTGGTGTCACCTGCTGGCCCCTCACTAGTTGTTTAAGATCATTGTTTATGAGCTTGATCTCCATGATTGGCTGGTTTCTCTATAAATGGTCATGTTATACTTGTGACATAAATATAGCTGATACTTTTCACTCTTGTGATACAGAAACCCAGCTTACACGTGATTGATGGAAAAGACCCCTTTCTGAAAGGGTGATGCTGGAGTCTACCCTGGGGGCCCTCTGAAGGCATACATGTGAGTGGCAAGTGTCTGGCTCAGTAATGAGAAATGGTCCTCTTCTCCCTGGGAGAGTGGGATTCTGCCACTCACTATTGGTCCAGATCATTTCTCTCCAAATTAGGGAGTTGGTATCTATGTAGTGAGTTCTCCCCATGAGCATTAGCATCATTATCTAGGTCAGGAAACTCTTTGGAGTATTGACTAAGAAGCACATACCTGGAGGACTTTCTCTCCCTTCTGCACCATACTAACTTTTGGCTTCAGGCCAAGGCCTGGTGGGAAGGTGAGTTGCAAGACACCAGTTTCACTGCCCAGGTGCTGTGTGCTGAGGATTTCTGTGCCATTCTGCTTATCTAACTGACTGTTTTTTCTGCTACTTGCCAATTACGCCTGTAAGTGCTGACATCTTCCTTACATATATGAAAAGGAGAGGGGAGGTAGACAGCCCTGGAAATGAAAAAGAAGTCAGTTTAAAAAATGTGAAATCTACAGGCAGCAGTCATTCCTCTGTGTGAAAATGACATGAGGAACTTCAGCATACCAGCAGGATCTCCTGGGTATAGTTTTCATTGCCTCTTTTTAATCTTCCCTCAGTATTCCTTACTTGAAAATATGTGTCTAGTGACACGTGTGCTCTTCTTTGCTATCATAACATCACCTGCATTAAAGGTTCATCCCAAAGACCCATTAATGGTTCAGAAAGGTTCATTTTTGCCCAGCTATGCCTGGATGTTATGAAATAAATTAAAAGCTATTTCTAATATATCTACTGAGAAGTCCTTGGTATGTCTATAGTAGCAGTTTTCTTCTTTCCTTTAGCACTGCCAACATAACTGTCCTAAGTATTGCTACTGCAAACAATACCAACCTGTTCTGGGTACTCTGGGGGACTAGCAATGAGAGGTGCTACCCTTAATAGCTACCATGCACTGCTTCTTGGATAAAGGTATCTTCAAAGCACCAAACCGATATTATAGTGTACATAGAATCTGAAATGTAGGATTTTCCACACATTGTTCTCTACAGCCCAGCAACCCAGAAACATCATCTTGTTTTTATACATAAACAGCAAATGAAAATAAGAAGAGATTTTTGAGTCATATGTAAGCTTGCTGAAGGGGAGAAGTCTGCTGAACTGGCTCCAGGACACCCTGTAATTACTTACATGGAGGCATTCAAGTGGTCCCCAACCAGTTTTCTAAAGCAGGGTAGTAACTTGTAGAGCAGAGAAAGGAATTTTGGTGGCTTTTAGTATTGAGTCAATATTAAGCAAACGTTATACCAAATGGTTCTCATTGAGGTTATGAATTGGTTTTGTTTGTTTTAAAATAACCATAAACAGCGCCCAGATTATATATCTTGGGCACGAGAAAGGAAAGTTTATTTTGGAAGGGAATGTTCCATTTTACTTGGTAAGGAATGAACTGATTCTAATAATGGAAAGAGGAAAGAGTTAGCAATTTAAACAATTTACATGGCAAATCAATAGTGTAATAATTATCCATTCGCTTACTTAAAATGGTCCAGAAATGCTTACTTTTTTCATGGAAGATTATTTCATTGCATGTACTAAAATAGAATAATGCCATACAGAAAAGCAGTAAAAATGAAATAAGACTTTTGAAAACATATTAATATATAAAATATTTATTATACAGGCTCAGTAGTGTTTGCATTTAATCATTTTAATTGTATATCAGGGGTTAGTCACTTCCCTCTGAATTCTGAAAAATGAACATGAGATGTTTTGCAAGCACTGCTTTTTCTGGAGTGCACTTTCAGTGGGATTTACTGAGGAAATACTTATTTGCTGAGGGGTGGGGGCACATGTCTGTATGCGTATTACAAATGCTTCCCATAGTGGCACTAAAATGATCAGAGGAAATGAGAGGAAAGTTGTGCAAGGTTGCTTCATTGCAACAAGATCTTTCCAGAATGCTACCCGGCCTGTGGAGGAGTTTGGAAACTTATTCAGAACAATAGGGAGGCAGTCCCTTTTTTCTAGATCTCAGTTTAGAAAACCACAGTCTTCTCTTAGGTTTTTGTACATTGGTCCCTGCATTAGCCTTTATTTTCCATTGGATAATCTTTTTTCTGTTTCCAAAGCATGTACATGTGATTGTTCAAGCATTAGGACCAAGGGGTAGGGCATTTGTGGTGTAGCTACACAACAAGCAAGAACTACCTGACCAACCAATGGTATATTCATAGGGGAATCACAGTGCAGGACCATGGAATGTGGTTCCTTAGTAGGTTTTCTATGTTAAATTATGAGGTTCTGGAGGGCAGGGGATTCTCCTTTTTTAGTAAAGTCTAATAGCACAGGGCAATGGACAAAATACTTGTTCACTAAATTCAGATGAGCTTTTGATGTGGGGACCTTTAATATTGGTGCTGCAAACTGGGTCTGGAGCGCTTCATTCTCCTTCAGGCAATTTGCCCAAAGTGGGTGGCAATTGGCAGGTGATTAGCTGGAGTTTGGCACCAGCCCCTGTCAGTGTTCTGGGTTATTCAAAAGGCTGTGAGGGACCAGCAATTAGCGTAATGGCTATGTTGTTGGACTCCCATGCAGTCTACTACGGTTCGAGTCCCGGACCTGGTGGCTTAAACTCACACCGGGCGTGTGTGCATGCGTGCCGAAGATCCCAAGAGGAGAATGGAGGAGAAGGGATTGTGGCGTGGCCATCCCCCCGGGGGGTGATTTCTCGCTTTCTTTCTCTCTGTCTCTCTCTGTCTGGCAAGTGCATGCACCCTATAGCAAAAACATCTCCAAAAAAAAAAAAAAAGGCTATGAAATGATAGTACCTTTCTCTGTCTCATGTTTGAGACACCATGCTCTGCTATCAACAACATATTTATCTTTGGAATAAGTTACAGCTGTGGTTCCCCACTGTGCCACTCTGCTCAGACTGCAGGAGATAGTTGTAAGTGATGCTCCAGTCTTCAGGGCCACCTTGCGTAGCCATGGAGCCTTCCTGGGGTTAATGCTATGTCAAGAAATAATGACTCCATGTTAATGGACACATTGACTAAATGGCAGCCTGTGCCCATGAAATATTTTCTAGTAATTTGAAGCTGATGGAGTAGTACTGGTTGAAAATGGCAGCAGGAGAGAGAATATTTAAGACTGAGTTGGTATTGAATACTCTGGGTTCAATATAGAGTAATTGCAGAAATTAGGGTTCTGCTGTGTCAGTACATTCTGGACAGACTCCTGCACTGCTTAGGAAGCACCACCGAATTTCCCATCAGAAAGGAACCTAAATGAAGGAGAACCCTCATTTCAGCCACATCATAAGCTGCACTATGGAGACAAAGTGGTCTTGTTCATACTTTCTCTGAGGATTTGATAGGTTTAGGGATTCATTTAAGCCTATTATCCTTTTTCCAGTTTTTTGTTTTGTTTTATTTTTATTCTTTTTAGGACAACCAGAGTCCAGGAGACCACTTAACTGATTGGTGGTACTATTACTAAAGATCAGAGAACGGTTGGGAATTAGGAGACACAGTGATAAGGAGGTTTGAAATTTGAGTTCGTACTAATAGAGCTAGTATTTAACAGTGCGTATCACTTTTCTTTACTTCCATGGCTTTTGAAATGCTGTGATTTTATTCACTAGCCAGATTTCAGGGGACTAGAGGAGAAAGGCCTGGGAAGGGGTTGTGATAGCGAATTGGCAAGACAGTTGGAGAAAAGCTAAGGAGGGATCAAAAGAACAGCTTCTTCTTCTACCCAGCCATTCTCATTACCATTTCGGACACCCAGGATAGCAAATCCAGTCACATTGTAGCAAATGCCCAGTTTAGGCATGCATTAGTGTGGCAGGCCTGAATAAAGCTTTCCGCACCTGTAGTTCTCATGCATTATTTATCACGGGTACCTCCGCTCTTATTCCTCTTATAACGGCACTCAGTCTGCAAGAGTAAAGGGCACACAGGAAATCCTCAGCTTCTGGCTCAGTGCACTTAGAGAATATTGCCTGCCAATTTGGTAACTGTGATAACTGCAGCAGTATCTTTGGATAGCTTGTTTTCAGGGCATCTTTAATGGGAGAAGAGGCTATAAGGAGGCGATTAGCCTTGGCTGTGCTAAGTTTAGAGTGCTGTCAGTGAGCCACTGCACAGATGCCCCCTGCTGATTTCATCCTTGATTAGTCTTTTCTAATATTCTTGCCTGCTTGTGTCTGTGCTGCAGTAGAGAATTAAAATTCATCATCTCTGCCTAGGATCCCGAGGCTCTAGTCTGTTCTGGAGCCCAGACATCTTTTGTTTCCTATTTGTGCCACTGGAAACAGATTCCTGGCAAGTTGGTTGATCATTAGATGAGCAGCATTGAATATGGGAAAGAAAATCTTGGGCACGGAGGATGGTCAGTTACAGTCTGTCTGACTCAGAAGAAGAGATTCCAGCTGTAGTGTAGATTAGCTAGGGCCACAGTCAACAAACACTTGGCCTGAATCCAGAAACTGGGTAGCGAAAGAGTCATTTTAAGCGAAAAGACAGACTGAGTAAGACCCCTGCAGGAATATTAGCTGTGATTCCCCTGACAACATTCTCATGACGTCAGCCAATGCTTGCCTTCCCCAACCCCCCATGTCTTTTTACAACTGTATTGGTAAGTCTAACCCAGGGCTGGTGCATGCATTTTACTAACTAAAACTGAGAGAGTTGAGCAGCTGGTCAAGAGACTTGACTTCAGTATGTTCAGTAGGCCTTGTTGTAGGAGCTGAGGGCGAATGGTGGGAGATGAAAGAGTGACAACAAAGGGATATTGCAGCGGTGGCCCGAGTGGAGGCCAACATTCAGAAGCAGAGAGTGCACATAGGTCAGGCAGCCAGCCTCTTTCAAAGGGCCAGGGATCCTAGATGTAGAGGAACTGACTTCCTGGATAGGTTATCAAGACACAGTAGCAGCCATTAGGAGGGTATGATAGAGACACAGTCTTCCATGAGGAAGGGGTCGACGGAACTGACTTTAGTGTCTAGAGTATAAGGCTAAGTATCATATGTCATACAAAGTAGGTTCTAAAATATTCATTGAATAAGTGAATGAACAAAACCTTTTATTCCCCCCAAAGTTTACTCATTTCATTTGAGAGAGTGAAACAGATAGGCACCTTTAAGAGAATCCTTATACAATCCTCTCTCACCCTGCAGGCAGCCAGGATCATGGGTTACCCATATGTCTGCCCAGTGTATTTAGGTAAGCCTGGGGCATGGACCTAGAGCCCTCCCAAATGGCTCCAGCATTGGGCAGTAACATCCCTACTAGCTGCATCATCACCACTGGGTCAGAAAAGCTATTGATGCTGAAAACTGATTCAGATATAGTCTATCAGCAATGGTAACTTTGTTGGTGAGACCAAGATATTTCTAACAATTCTCACCTCCCCCTTCCCAACACAAGGGTGGTTTTAGGCTTCAAGGAAAGGCTGAGCCTCACCATAA